ACAAGAAACATGAAAAACTTCCTGTACAATGCTTCTACCAAAGCCACAAAGGACTACTCTTTTGCAAGTAGTTGAAATGAAAACAGATCATTTATTGGGTGATTTTTTGGTTGTTGCCCTTGGAGTGAAGGAGGTTACTGATCTCTATTGGCAGCAGAATATGTGAGCAAACCTCGAACAATCTTTATTTTTTAATCATAGCAAGTTTTCCGGGCAATTTCAAAATCCAGTGATTATTAATAATATTAGAGAATTTTGGGTTTATATTGAGCTGATAGCATGGTAAAGGTGAGGCTGACTTGAATCAGAGCATAAAATGACCAGTGTGACCGACTGACAGTAAAGCTTCATATTTGTGTGTGAATTTTTACATCCAAAACTACCAACAATCATGCTTATTTAACACAATTTACCTTAAACATTTACTTTTCTCAGCTCATTCAAGCGCTGGCTAACATCCAGCATATATAACCTTCAAGTCTTAATTAGGAAATTCCTCCATTGTCTTTATTATTTGGTCTGGAACAAGGAAGGCTTTCGTTTCTTTCCTGCTTATAACTTCTTTCAGGCAGAACAAACATTCAGAGGATCACCTTTTAAGACTGATGTTTGAACTTGTAGCGGGACACTTTGTGTCTGCTCATGCTGTACTTTGAAGCTCCTCTCTGTTTAAATTATGTAACTTGAACATTCAGTCAATCATCATAAAGACGCCATGTTTTTGTTATCAAGACCCTTATCTTTCTGTCTTTTTCCTATTTTCGTCTGATCATTAACTTACATGCAAAACGAACGCCCTCATGTCAACTTGTAGTTAAACATCTATCACATGATGACACCTGGTTGCAATATTTAGACGTTTCCTCAAAAAACAATTTACATAAAAAACTGGATATTGCACCTTATGGAAATGATATGACCAGCTTTTCCATGGAGATTAAAAATTATACTAAGGCCCATTAAATACAGAAAAAGACCAAAGAAAACTGTAATTTGCATTATGATAATATAACACACGATTTCTGTGTTTGTTCTTCACAGTATTGGCTTTGGGTTGTTTCATGAACTCTAACATGGTAGATGCTCAACATTTTCAGGTTAAACATTTAACACTAACCTCCATGGGCCCTCCCCATGCAACTGGGACCCAGAAAGTTTCTCCCCTTATCCCCCCTTATGGGCAGCCTTGGCAACAGCTCCCGTAGTTTAAATCAAATTGGGACCAAAGGCAAGAGGAGTGACACAGATAGATCGGAGAGGTTTAAGTGGGTATAAGAATGCCACCGAGATGAGTTGAGTTTTCAATGGGGCAGTTATAAATGATGCTCTGCATTTCAAGACCATTGACATTTTGTGAAGAACTGTTGAACACAAGCACATAGATATTGAAATAGTATTAGAAAGAGAGGGGGGGAGGGAGAGTTTTTTTTATTTATTTCTGCAAATGTTTAAGAGGTCATCAAAAGCAAACCAGAAAAGTGTTTGAATGCTCTGTGTCCATGTTCTTCCATAGAAAAGTGGAAAAACTAATTCTGACACTAGGCAGGCAAAGTCTGCAAAGTCTTTGTGGCGTTATATTTTGCATATACGTCTACATGTTACGGCAGAATAAAGGAGCATTTGTGTAAAGACAAGATAACGGAGTGTATTTCTGCCACCATGTAAATTAAATCAAACAAACAAAAATAAAATAAAAAAAGTATGTGAAAAGTGTATTGTTATGCTTTTCAGGTCATTAACAAAAGGGTTAGGTTAAACCCTTTTAAATAACAATATTAAAACGTATTATAATGAATCAATGCATCAACAAGACAATTAGAAGAAAACAAGTTGTTTGTGTTTTGAACACATGGAAAAGGTTTATACGTAACTATATGAAACACATGGTAAAATAATCAACTTTTCACATTCTGTTACATTACCTTATAATCTCCATTTCCTGCATTAGAAACAACACGCTACTGTGAAAAGAAAATATACAACTATAAGAGACAAAATACCACTGTGCAATGAAAGATAAGCTACTTCCTCAAAAAAATACATTATTATACATAACCCACAACCATTTTTTTATTTTTTATTGTGTAGTCTTGAAATGGATCTTAAACATGTTACTTTTGACAGGTGCAGCTGCTGTATGAGTAAAGCACTATATGTATGGCCATTGTGTAACTTCAGTCTACTGTGATGAAGCATGTTAATAAAGACATTTAGATAACACAACATTCCTCCAACTCCCTGCTGCTGCACACTATCTACATCATCTCACACATTGAATGACTTGACTCTTGACAGAAGACAGTGAGACAAACGTATACTCTATATGGTAACAACAGCTGGTATGAAAGACCAAGCCTGCAAACACACAAAACAAAAAAAAAAAAAAAAAACCATAAAAACATGCATGCTGCTGCTACATTCCCCAAAGGATTACTTAACATTTCTTTGGGAATGGTGGGTCACAGTGACCACTTTGAATCAGCTCGATCTCCATAAGCAACCATCAACATCATCATCACCACCATCATCCTCATCATCATCATTAGCAGCAACGTTCTGTGTCTCCACCTCAGCGGCGAGGAAGTGAGGACAACCGGAACACGGGGAATACAAAGGAGAAATCCTTCCTGGATCTTCTCCCGTATGCTCTTCTGTAAAGAGTCTTGAGATAACACTATGTTATGAATTGGTGCTATACAAATAATGGTTGATTGATTGAATAATTCATAGTTTTTTCAATTTTGTGGAAGTGATACTTCTTTTGATGGCTGTCCCAGTGCGAAGCAGAAGACCTTGTTTGGTAAAGGTCTTGATCAGACTTTTTGTGTGCATTCATTCAAAGTTTTAGTTGATTTGTTTATTTATGGTTATTTAGGGACAGATATAAATAGACAAACTGCAAATAGCCATCCAATTATCAAAGTGTTTATAGCGGATGCTAATTTGCAACACCCGTCCCTGTGTGAATGAGTTCAAAAGGAAAAAGAAAGAGTAAGCTGTGTACAGCAATCTTCAATAGGCACCCATTTAGCAGGAACATAGCTACAAAAAAGTAATACATGAGTACAAGTTTTTTGCTGAACTCATCAGGATTCGGTGGCTTTCTTTAAAGTGGTGATGTTTGTTGTAAGTTTCAAGTGATCGATGTTTGTGTGCTGCAAATGGAAGAGTTTATGTACCTGTTTTAACAATGAAAGATTCATAACTGTAACGGAGTTAACACTTAAATGTGTTTCATTACAATAGATGCACTTCAGACTCTGTTCTAATGTTGATGAAGCCAAAGTTGTTAAAATGTGTTTTATGCATAAAGATATACACTTTACATACCTGCTGTTGTCCATTTCTTCACTGAATTCTCTGCTTCTGTTTTTCTCTCCTACTCCTGTCCTGCATGCATGTGAAATATCTTTCTTCCTTTTTTTTAACTGGCCAACATTGTACTCACAAGCTTCATAGGAAATTGTAGATTAAGACTCATCAGTTTCTGACATGAATTTCTCTATCAGAAGGCGACATGCTGAGAGAGGTGATGAACATTAAGGATACGTCCTTAATCGTCTATTTATCTGGTCTGCTTTTTAAAATTAATTTAGAGGCCTACATTTCCTTGTATTGAGCAGCCAAATTCAATGTGACTGACACATTCATTAGCTGGTGAAGCTTAAACATTTAAATAACACCAGTTTTCTTAAAATGACACTTTTTTCTTGCTGTTTTCAAAGCCAACCGTCGACATGAACTATCTGTTACTTCCTGTACAGCGCTCTGTGACAAAGCTGATAAAAATGCTCTTAAATAAACTTAACATGACTTTCCCCTTCAGAGCACTCTACTTTTTTTTTTTCAATGAACAGAAAGAAGGAGTGTTTGGCAATTAAACTATTACCTAGTACTCGTGGAGACTACACTGAGACTTCGCTAACACAGTTTTTCTAATACTTATTCAGTCATGCCCCCTGAACCAAATAGTGACTATGAGGACAAGGTAAGCTGAGCACTATTAAAAAGTGAAATGGGCCCTATTTGCTGTTTAATAGTTGGCACCATCAGGTAAGGTCTCCCCCAGAAATTTTTTAGCACCCAACATTTCTTTAGCTGATTGTGATCTAGTCTTTTTGTCTTTTTCAAATCTCTTTTGGTGTTCATCAGACACCTTTTCCTGTCCATTGTCATGCAATGAAGACGTGATATTATTTTTTTAACTGGGTTCTTATTTCTCTCTAAAGAGGGGTCGTGACAGTTTAAATGACCGATACAATCACACCCGGCAGCGAGAGTGTGAGAGAGAGGGCAGATGTGCTGCACAGAAATAACACATAATTGTCTACGTCCAGAGCCCACTGCACGCAGAGTTCCATTGTCAATCATGCACAGATTACAAATACTTGCCCACTAAACTTGTGGACTGGAAACTTGTGAACTGTGGGTTGGAATTATTTTTAAAGGTATGGACATCAAAGTTTGGTGGTTAATTGGCTGGTTTGAGTGTATGGAAAGACCTCTCTTAATGTCACATGACAAGCCCAGAGACACCAGTACTTGGTTTCCCAGAATTCCTGACTACGCCCCTGCCTGGGACTGGCATCCCCTGTTGAAAGCAGAGAAACTATAGGTCGGTTTACTTAAAAAAAGAACAGAAACAAACAGAAAAAAAAACATCTGCCATAGCTGCTCGGCTTAGTTCAGTAAAGATATCCCACCGCGGAGTCATTCCTTCAGCCTGCGTGACCGAGTTATTGGAAGAATGTAGGGTGACTCTTCCTCATTTCTGCTTGACCGGACAGCCCTGTCCACTCTATCTGTCCACAGATCGGTCTGCTGAAGCTGCTGTGACACATCGGAGTTTACGAACTGAGCATAATAACTGCGGAAAAGGCTTTTTGAGGAGGCTGCATCAGAGGAGAGGGTGACATGATGATGAGAGGAGTGGCACATTTCACTAAAAACTTCTCTGAACGACGCGCCGGGCCGCCGCTCCTCCCCGTTAACAATAAAGAAGAAAGTTTCCTCCTCTGACTTTTGACTCGCTTCATGTAGCGATACTTAGCAGGACCACTTGGCCGGTATAAAGGTAATATCTTTCACAAACGAAGAAGAAGTTAGAACATGAAAGCATTCAACTGGTAGAAAAGTCTGGAAACGTTTCTGCTGATCGTGCGGCATCATGAAGCCACTGGTGCGCTTCAGCGTCTTTCTGCTGCTCCTACACGCTGTCCTCAAGGTAAGAAAGCTTCTTTCATTTCTACTAAGTACAGAATAAAAAAAGGCTGTATTAGGGTTAGACATGGGCAAAGTCAAAAGGGCCCTTTGTTTGGATGCTGACGGTCAGTTATTACCGTAAAACCCGAGTGTGAGTGCACCTGTTGCGCAGGTGGTTACAGTAAAGTATTCACTCTGAGGTCATTTGGAGCAGCACACAGCTGAACACAAATAAAGTTTTTGAGGAAGAAATGGAGAGAAAAGGTATCCTGCTGTCAGCAGAAGGCTTGGGAGAAGGTCTAAGCACACCTATGGCGGTTTTAATTTGATTAAAAATTAAATCTGCGCGTGATTAATTGAAGTACAATTGTTGTAAAATTAATTGTTATTCTTGAGAATATACGAGTTATAACGATGTCGGGTTCTGGGAATAGAAAATCATTCTTTAGCATTAAAAATTCCGATGAGGTCATTTTAATTAGAATATCTTAATCGGTAGATTATTTGTCCAGGATTGCGCAGGTCAGATTTCAGTGAGCTGACCTGTAGTGTGAAATTTAATGAGAATGCGTCCCTCCCAACAAAGCTTACATAACAAAGTAAGTCCTGCAGCCACAGATCCACCTGTCCTCGTCCCACTGCTCTTTCAGGAGAGAGAGAGAGAGAGAGAGAGAGAGAGAGAGAGGGTACGAGAGGGTGAGAGAGGTTGAGAATGGCATGTGAGGATGTGTGTGGCCAACACAAAGGGGACAGGAATGGAATGAGGTGCAGTTCAGTGTCCCTGTCACTCCTGCGGATCTCCTGAATACCCGTTTATTAAGTAACAAACTACAGTCTGCTCTTATAAGAGAGAGAGGTGTGCTGTCCAGGCTAATTTAAAGTCTGGTTATTGATGCATTCCAATGAAAAGAGCAAAAAACAACAACAACTAATGCATAATAATTAAATGAAAGAGTCACATGTAAGGTCTGCAGGACGGCATATTCATACATTTCACTACAAATGATAATACCTTTTTTTGCTTAGCATAATTATACACCACTAGGAGGTCCCTACAAGAGGATGAAATGAGAGGATTAATAGAAGATGAGAAGAAGACAACGTCATGTCACAGAAAAATAAAAACAACTTACTACAACCTACTTGGAGAAAAATGTGTGACTTTGACACCGGAAGCTGCACTTTAATTAACTTCTGCCAAGAGTCAACAGTGGCTTTTTTTTTAACAATAACCCCAGTTATTACCCCAAATGAACCAGAACTTCACCACAGAGCACCACAGGGTGCTGACAAACAACCACACCTAGCTGTTATGAATTGGGAGTTTTTAATGATGTACTAAGTTCATGTTTTTATTTCATGTCTTTTCAAAAACCTATATCAAATAATCCCTGGTATGAAAAATGATACAGCTTCATAACATAAAACTAAATTCTCTTGAGTTGATGTTGAATTTTTTTTTGTGATGCTGCTTTGGTTTGCTCTGTCATTCAAGTGAAACTCAAAGAAAAACTAGAAAATTCTGTAAAACATTATTATAAAAGTTAACTCTAGACCTTTGAAACACCATTTGGATCAGTAAGCACATAAGAAGAACTTTGTCCAAAGTGTATCCTCTTATTAGATATTACATTTGGTAATTCATTAATTTATTGTACACTCACATATTGTGTTACCAAATGTCATGACAAGCTTACTGTTTCAATAAGGAAGTAAAGGTGCAATGGTCCGTAAATGAAGTCATCTTCTATGAAGAGTACACATGTTGAGCAGAGATGAACACGGGCCATATAGTTCACATGCAAATGTCACACAGCTGGCTCTCAGGCAGGTTCAAACTCTGATGGTTGTTCATCTACTATATGAAAAAACTTCAACTTCTAAAACTATTTTAACGGTGTGAGTGAGTTTTGGATAACTGAGCCTGAAGTTGTGATCACAGATAACTTAAAGTTTGGAGACATGGCAGTCAGGACTTTCCTGTTTGGAGACAAAACCTGCAGCTCTCACAGCTTCTTTCTGTTTGATAGGAGAGGAGATAAAAGCCTTTAACTTCTCCTTTCCATTTTTCGACACTTAAAGTCTGCCCTCTATATGATACAATAAGTGTGTGCTGTTTTTGTAGAGATAGGGAACAGGCAAATTGACTTTCGTTTGTACTGATCTCTAGATAGAGTTTCTAACAGTCTGATGAAAATACTGTACAACATTGACACTTGTTCTAGGTTAAGGCACATGGGAAATTACTTCAAAAAAGAAGAAATAACATGCTTCCCTGAAAGGCAGTTTTTGCATTGTGTACACATTCAAAACATCAATTCTCCCTTTATCTGAACATCTCATCATCATCACGAACTACCTGTTTAAACTGAATGGAGAGGTGTTCAATTTTATTTTGTTCTTTCTGTTGAAGTTTCAGTTCCCCTTTGGATTTTGCGTTGTCACGGACCACAAGCTTGTCTACAAATGATGATTGTGAGTCTGTATCTCACAGTGCTTCCTTTGAGTTCAGTTGAATGAAACATGAAGCCGTGTTTATGGTTTTAATGCAGGACAAAAAGAAGATCTCATGTTTTTGTTGTTGTTGTCTATATCTCATACTCCATTTTTCTACAGTACAATTTGTTTTAGATTGACACTATCATACTTCCAGGATATTTTATGTGCACAGGAACTGCACAGTTCTTTATAGAATATTTTAATTAATTGGTTAATTGGTTAGTGTTGTTTGGCCAATCAGTGTACCATTCTATGGGGTCCATTAAGTATGATATACAAGGGTACTATAGTAGATATGTTTTTAGCATTAAATTGGACATGCGTGGCACTATAACATAGTGTATGATCCAGTTTTCAGTTTTGACTTCTTCAGTTATTCTGTCTCATCTCTTAGCCTCACTTAAAGTTTTCTATCACTTGTAAGAACAGGCCTGTCCGTGGGATATGTCTTTGTGGCTAATTGCTAAGCTAATGCCTGAGGGGCTGTGAAATATATATACAGTGACGTGAGAATGGAATTCATGATGTCTGATGTGGATCTCAACACAAGTGTCCTTCTCCTCACTGATTCTAAATTAGAAAGCATCAGTCAAATTATGTTCTGCATCTCATTATTGATCTAAAGTACAAAAGTCAAAAGTCAAGTCCTTCTTTGTTGGATGCTGCCCCCTCCTCCCACTCCCAACCGTACTTCAACTGTATCAAGACTGTCCAGCGCCAAATTATCATCCTCAAACATGCTGACTTTTACCAGGGCTGTGACTGGAAGCTAGGCGTGTTAAACACGAATGACAAAGAGTCACAGTTCCCCAATGCATGTAAATGAGACACAGGCTCCTCTCGCAGCCTCAAAGGCCTTATTGTGAACAGATAGTTATCGTTTGACCAGTGTCCTATGAGACAGTCATGGCTGGGCAAGGCTGGACTTAAGATGGAGAATTTAGACTTTTCTCCTTTTACATTGGTCTGTCACTCAGTTATGTGCAAATGCAGTGCTATTTTGCAGACAGGGCACAATGTGTGATCGAGACTTGACACCTATCAGATGGGAAGAAAAATGTTGCCAAAACATGCATCCGGAGACTTTTTTAATTCATATAAAATAATTGTTCTGAAACCATGTTGTTTGTGCACCCCACCACACAGCAGCTTTAGTTTTTTTTTCCCATTGTTAGCTAACATATTTAAGTCCCAAGTTAGGGAGAGGAAGTACATAGTCATAGAGAGCTATCAGTTGTTTTCCCTGCTAGTGTAGATTGGACTTAATTGCACTTTTTTTCCTGGGAAGTTGTGGTCTGCAGCACATTCAAATGAACTTTTTGCAACAAATCTTACAAAACTTACAACGTATACTATATATATATTATAATCATTGTTAAATCCAGAACAATTCTAGCAATGAAACGTTTGGAAGGTTCCTGCCCTGTGTGATCCCAGGCAGCGTTATCAGATACATTTTGAAACAGTTTGTTCATGTAAGTTAAGTAATTTAAAGGCAGTAATTACACCCTTGAATGCAGCACAAATAAGTTAAAAATACAAAACGTACAGCATCCGTTCTCTGCTCTGCAGACGAGCACACAGCACACCCCACAACCCACTTTCACACATTTCAAACATCACCCTGATCACACTTGTTCCTCCTGTTACATGGCCTGCAACTTTAGGAGGAAGCGCTAATGGTCGGTGCATTGTACTAAGATGTGTATCTGCAGCCAGCAGCTCAGCACTGTGCACAGTACTGGCTTCAGTAAACCACTACGTCACACATTTCCATAGTCTCTGATGTGGCCTCTGATAGCATAGCTGGACTGTGGTGTGGGAGGCGGATACTGTACCTGGAGACAAACATACTCAGAGCTAAAGACGTGTTGCCCTTGGAGTATTTGGAGGCAGTGGATATTTTTAGACATAGCTTTCAATAATAATCTATGATTCATCTTTCTATAATATTCCACTGGAGGAATTCAGGAAATAATATACAGTTTTTATCAGTCCTAAATGCTTTAAAATAAACTATGAAAAAGAAAATCACACATACAGGGATCAACAACATGTACAAATTAATAAAAAACGTTATATACAAATGTCCAAATAACAAGATTGTATTAGAGAAGAACACAACAACAAAATATGATAAAGAAAATCAATACCAGTTTTATTTAAAATAAAAAATAAAAAACCCTCGAAATTAAAACAGCATAAAAAGTCAAATCTTGAAGTTCCTTTGAAACAGCTTCCACATTTTTTCATTTGACATACACGTGTTACTACTTCGTTGTTGTATCTGTATCCTTTTAAACTGAAAACGCTGTGAAGGGAGTTGTCTTGATTATGTGATACGACATCATCTCTGTCTGTTTGTCACTCTCACTTTATTTAAAGGAAGAATGTGCTGCATTTTACGCATCAATAATGCAGAAATCAAGAATGTTCTCTGTAAATGTCTCTCTGAGTCATGACTGTCTACAATGAGTGAGAGTCCCGCCATCTGTACTGTTGTCGAAGCCATGTTTATATCAT